CACCATTTAGCTATAAATGTCTCTAGTTTCTCATTCTTTATGGCTGAGTAGTACTCCATTTTATTAAAAAACTACATCTTTATCCAGTTTCCAGTTGATGGGCACCTGGGCTGTTTCCAAGCTTTTGGTATTACAAACTGTGCTGCTATAAACATGGGTGCACATATATCACTGTGGTATGATTCTTTTAGTTCTTTTGGGAAGATACCCAGCAGGGGAATAGCTGGGTCAAATGGGACCTCTACTCCTAGTTCTTTGGGGTATCTCCATACTGATTTCCACAGTGGTTGCACCAGTCTGCACCCCCACCAACAACAGAGAAGGGTTCCTTTCTCCCCACAACCCTGGCAACATTTATTATTTGTTGATTTCTAGATAGCAGCCATTCTTTCTGGGGTGAGGTGGAATCTCAGTGCTGTTTTCATCTGTATCTCTTGAATGACCAGTGACTTGAACATTTTTTCATATTTATTTGTTGCTTTTACTTCTTTGTCTGAGAAATGTCTGTTCATTTCGGATGCCCATTTTTGAAATGGGTCTTTGAATTTGGGGGGGTCTGATTTTTTTAAGTTCTTTGTATATTCTAGTCCTTTGAGGTATAGCTGCTAAAATTTTTTTCCCACATTGTAGGTTGTCTCTTAGCTCTGTTGGTGGTTTCTCTTGCAGTCCAGAAGCTTTTTAGTAAGATGAGATCCTAGTTGTTGATTCTTTGTGCTAGTTCCTGTGCTACTGAGGTTTTGTTCATAAAGTCTTTTCCTATGTCAATGTCTTCAAGAGCTCTACCTAACTTATCTTCCAGCCAGTTTAGTGTTTCTGTTTTACTATTTAGATCTTTAATCCACTTCAATCTTAGTTTAGTGGATGGTGATAGATATGGGTCTAGTTTTAATCTTTGGCACATTGAAATCCAGTTTTTCCAACACCATTTATTAAATAGGCTATCTTTCCTCCAATGAGAGTGGTTGGCTCCTTTGTCAAACATGAGGTGGCTGAGTATGTCTGGAGTTGTTTCTGCATCTTCTAGATTTCTTCCACTGGTCCTTGGGTCTATTTCTTTGGGTTTGTTTCTTTGGGTCTGTGCCATGCTGTTTTTATCACAGTAGCTTTGTAGTATAGTTTCAAGTTGGGGATTGTGATACCCCCTACCATGTCTTTGTTGCCTAGAATTGCTTGTGCTATTCTAGGTCTCTTCTGGTTCCACATGAATTTTTGGATTGTTTTTTGTAGTTATGTGAAATATATTATTGGAATTTCAATTGGCATTGCATTGAATCTGTAGAGCAGTTTTGGAAGTATGGCTATTTTCACTATATTGGTTCTTCCTACCCAGGAGGAAGGGATGTCTTTCCAT